TTGCCTTCATTTGTCAGGTTGGAAAGTTATTTCTCTATATTTCTGTGTACAGTTAATTTGGTGCCAGTTTGGGGCTTTTCAGTAATGTGGGCAAAACTGAAATTTGGACTTGCAATTTTTTGGTCATTTTATGGGATCTGTTATTTTGTGGGTTGATAGTGGCAGAATCGGTCTCGTCTCAGTACTACCATATGGCTATCCAGTTTTGAAGCTGGGATCCTTGTTCTGGTCTGTCCCTCCACCTGAAATAACTGATCCTTGTACTTTCTGGTATCCCAAGAGCAAAGTCAAGAATGAAGTCCTAGACGGAGATGCATTTTGTAATACTTTGACATGCTAGGATAAAGGTTCACAAGAGCTCTTGAAACTGTCAGTGGGTGCTAGATACCAGGAACCTGTTCCCTTTTTATGTCCACTTACCCAATCCCCTCCAAACCAAAAATGCTTACTTCGGTAGCCGTGAGGAGCAAGGGTTGCATGTTGAAGGGCAAAAGGATGATGACCGGCAAGAGAACTGTATTTCCTACAATATAGCTGAAAGCAAGCTACCTGCTCTTGTTGGGTCACCTGCAGATGATCTTTAGAGTGGGAAGACATGTTTTCATTAACAGTATGTCAAAGGTTGTACTTATTTCATCAGCACAGGGTGTATTTGTTCAGTGTTAAGCACTGAGCAAATTAAGGACAAGAGGGAAAGGAATGGCAAACAGTGTATTTTTAACATAAACCTTGCTTTCTTGTGTTCTGTGTTTATCCTGTAGGCCGTAGTAGAAGAAGAATGTATGCCTGTTGACCAATTTGTTGAACACCTGCTCCCCAGTCTCTTAAGCCTAGCTTCAGATCCTGTGCCCAATGTGAGGGTTCTGCTTGCCAAGGCGCTGAGGCAGACCTTGCTGGAGAAAGGTGGGCTCCTTAACTGCCTTGGGGTGAGCGGCCCGGGGAATGCTGTTCGTGCCTCTGCCGGCCCCATTCGCCCTAAATTGGCTCAACTGGTCAAAGGCCGTTTGGTTCTGGTTTATACTGAGACCAGGATTCTACGTTGCAATCTGCAATACTGCGGTTAAATTCGGGGTCAGAGAGCGCGGGTTTGGGGGCGGGCGCGCGCGCTCCTCAGCGCCGGGCGGGGGCGTGCTCCGGCCGCTAGGGGGCAGGCTCGGCCGGCCTCGCGGAGAGCGGCGGGGGGGGGGGGGCGGTGTCCGGGACCTGCGCGGCGAAGCCGCTTTACTTAAAACGCCGCATTAGATTATTTTGCTTTATTTCATACCTTTATGTTAATGTAGTCGTCGTTGCGGTCCTTCAGGTGGAGTGTTGTACCGTTTTCTGAGAAGGTTTGCACTGTCGCTTCAGTCTTAAGCTAGCAGTTGTACTAGCAAAGAATTTTGTGTGCTGCTGCAGTTCCCTGTATTCCTTAGTAACAAAAACATCAGTTGATTTCTGATTAATCAGAAGAAGATGCACAGAAATATGCTATCTCTTTTCCGAGTGAAGTATGGAGAATGTTTTGTAGTGCATTGTACAGTGGCAGCTTCCTGAGCTTGCTTTTACTTGTTGATACGTTTACATTTAGGGCTCAGCAAAATAATTTCTCATAGAAATACTTAAGTACCTAATAAGATGAGTAAGAAGTCGCATAGTTCTCTTTCTCTGTCAGCTTCCTTAGCTTCCTGTAGCTTCTCTAAGGAGCTTATAAATTGGACGAGATACTCCAATGTTTTTGGCATCCTCTGTATTTCTTTTTCTTTGGGGTTTATTCTTTTGGCTTTGATTAAAATTGTCTTTTTCTTCTCTTATTCTAGCTTATTTTAAAAGTGTTGGCAATCCTCATCTGGAAGCTGCTGAAGAGACCATTCTAGCCCTGCAGTCTGACAGAGATCAGGATGTGTCCTTCTTTGCCACCATAAAACTGAAACAGGGTAATATGAACAATACTACCATTGAAAAACAAAACTAATGTCTTGTTCTGCAGTAGACACTGAACATCAGAACGGTTATTCACCTTATCTTCGTGGTTAGTATGAATAATGTGGACAAATAAGAAGGTTTTTGTTACTTGTTTGAGATGGAAAGGGTTTATTGAAAACTGTTAAAATCTTCATTTCATGACCCTGTTTCATCTACAGCTGTGTGTCTGATATGCATGAGTATTTCATTTTGGTTTTTTTCTTTGTAAAGGTGGGTGATAACTCTGATCTCACCTGCAGTTAAGTATTGTATGTGAAGTCTTACACCACACTCAGTGTTCAGTTCATATGTCATTTTTTAACAAAACATTGCCAGTAGTAGACCAGTATGCTATAAGTTTGAAATGGTTTCTAAATCTTGAAACCTGATTATAGCAAACTTACATGAAGATATTATTTCCTCGCTTTTATTGTTGTTTTTTTATTGTTTCAAGTATTGCATTTTAACTGAAAAAAAGTGTGTATATATGTGAATAGTTTTGAAATTTAACAAAAAATTATGAAGAAAATTCTGTAGCAGTGGGGGAAAACTCAAAAATAATTTCATTTTATAATGTAGTTACTTTACTAGAATTAAGGCATGGTTCATTTTTACTTAATGTTATATTTTTCAAAGCATGGAAGGCTTAAGATTCTTTGTATATTTTGACTTTTGTATTAATTTGTTGTTTCTGAGCTATACCCTTACAGGTGTTAACATGTCTGTTCTCATCGCTGCTGGCTCTTGCAGTGGTAGGTAGATTATAAATTTTACAAACTGTGAATTACTTATTCTGCCCCAGCAAAGTTCACTTCATTTAAGGGATTCTGTTCCTGCACCATGTGCTGTGTCTGTAGAAGGGTATTACAGAATTTTACAGACTTAAGTTTTTGTTTTACATACACACCTCACTTTAAAAAACACTTTTTAACTGGTCCAGTGTTCAAATCCCAACCAGCCCACTACTTTGTTCCTAAGAAACAAAGGACCTCTAAATTCTGAAAAACCCCAAATAACAAATGCTCAAGGGAAAGGTGGTGATGCAGTTTGCTCTACAACTTCTGTTAATTGATAAGGGCTGGGGCAAACAACAAATGAAGGTTACTGAGATGCTGAAGTAGGAAGTTTTGGAAGAAATTAAAAACATACATATAGAACAAATTTCCGATAATAAAATCAGATAGCTTCTGACCAGTGAAATTTATAAAGGTAATGCTTTTTGGTGGATCCTGTTTTCCGCTGTGTCCCAAATCTACAGATAATGTGGGGCCTGGGAAAAAAGTCTTTTTTTTTTCTAGATTGTGGATTGGAACTTTGTCCTGTTCAAAAACTAATGCTTGAATACTAAAGAAATGGTTTAATAACAGTTAACTTTCTCTCTGTGAACACAATACTTCATCACAAATAGACCTGTGTAAGTATTCCCCCTTATTTCACTGTTGTATTAGTAAGTAGTTCACACAGGTGAAGGTTTTTACAGAAATAACTTCTTTTTTGAGTTGTTTAAATCTGGTTTGTCTGCAATACAGCAAGGAGGTTCCTCAGCTGGGTTCTGTATTTTTGGAGGGCTCAGTTTTGTATAAGTTTAGCTAGTCTTGTATTATAATATGTACAGTATTTGTAATAAATTGTTTTCTTGTGAGATCACAAAATGCATTTTTGGAAGTTACAGGCAGAAATATAGCACTGCTATTACAGCAAACAGTATAAACTCTGTAAATTCTGCAACACTCTACATTTAATTTTTTACAATCTTTTTATAATTTAAAGCAAAGGCTTCTTCAGTACAGACTTTTTATGATTGCAATTTCTTAACAAAAAGATCCCTCGAGTTATTTTTTTTTTTCTAGTTCTACTATCTTTTTCTAATGCTGGCATTATACTGGTATTTTCTAACAGTTCAAATTTTCTAAGGCCTTTCTGACAAGGTTTTACTTCTGTTTTTATTATCAGTTCATTAAATTTCTCAGCACTGAAAAAATTTTTTTAAGTGTGTGCATATGTAAGTATGTTTGAAATGTACTGTATATAAATTAAATACTTTGAACATTAACCCAACCAGGTTTTCTGTTTGTCAGATAATGTTAGTTACAATAGTTGCAATAATCCACTGGAAAACACAAGCTTCCATATGTTTTAGCATGTTTGGTTAGTGTTCACTAAGTTTTTAATTAGAATATGTGTAAACAGTAAGGCACTGCCTATAGAAGTTCACGAAAAAGCTAAACAAAGTTCTTTGTTTTTAACAATATTTTGGTACCTCTCTGGCTCCAGAAATCATTTTTGCTTTAAGTGATATGATTTCAGTAGAGCAGTTAAAAACTTTTGATAAAACTCTACAGTTGCATGCACTAATGGGGGACACTGTAGTTTTGGGGTGGGTTTTTTTGTAGACAATGTGCTGTTCTATTAAACAGATTTACCCTCTACAAGGTTTGTCTTTTAGTTTTAAACTAGAAATTATTTCAGCATGACTAAAGACCGCACTTTACGTCTTGTACTAGACAAATGTATGCAATGATGAGTAAAGCGGTGTGTTCACATAAAATTCTCTGGGTTGTTTAAATTATGCAAAAATATGTATTTTAAAAGCCAGGTGGAGCAAAGTTTAGGTAGTTGATCCACTTCCACAACAGCAGTAAGAACATCACTTTTAAACATTTCTAGCTAAGGGACATGAAAATAATGTTAGTGGGTGCAATGTTGCTTGGATGCTGTAGGAAATTGTCAAGCACTTGTTATCCAAAGCATGTTAGTCATGTTGCTAAGAATTCAGGCTCACTGGTATCTCGTGTTCGAGACACGCTGGCACGGGTCAGGATGCTGCCCAGTGGTGGTTGTGTCTGTGCACAGTGTTGTTTAGAACCCAACTAAGTGGGGACACTCTGGAAGTGTCATTTGTCAGAATAGAGAATCTATGTAACTTTGTATTTATCTCAATAAATCCTGTGACTGTTTTATAAACCAACTTGTGGTAACTGACTTTTGTCATAGGTGGGATGTGAGTGTATTCTTTCAGTTAATGAATCATCTCCCTAGCGTGAGCACTGTCATCTGTCAAACCACAGTTGAGTGTGGAATTCATCATACGGTGTAGTAAAAATTCCATTAGATGTCCAGAGATTTGAAGTATCTCTTCCTGCACTTTTTCCTTGAAGTGAGCATGCCAAAAGTGCTTCAAAACTAAAATCATTGTGTCAGAACTGAAACTCTTAACAAGATGTATTTTAAATGAAGAGAACTTGTGTGTTCAGGGTGAGACTGGCATTCAGATCTTTATCTTAAAGCCTTCCCTCTCCAAACTTCAGCCTGGAAGGACATTCTGGACTGTTTCAGTGTGGTGTTGCTCTTGGACGTCCAACATTAATGGACCCTGTGCAGTTATTAGGTCTTGGGGAGGAGGAAAGAATAGGCGACACCTGGCTGGTTGGTTTTGTTTCCAGTTTCAGGAGTCTTCTATATCTTCTACTGCTGGAGTCACCCTTTTGGCTGTTTCAGACACTCACTGGCTGCTCCATCCTGTGCTCTAGAACTTCTGCCAACTGCTGCAAAAGAATACCTGAGCTCCCCTCTCTTTTCTCTGCAGGACTTTAGCTGATGCAAGTGATGAGAATAAACAGTCCCCACACCCCCCTGGTAAAGCTTACCCACGTGCTTTGAGTGAGGGCACAAGACCCCTGTGTGGTAAACTGGAAACACAAACAGCCATATAATCTTTTTATTACATGTTAGATGAAACGCATAGATTGAAATCTAGACCGCAGCAAAGAAAACAACAACATAAAACGCAGGCAACTTAGGGTATTTATTCGAGTTATACTTACTTGGAGAAACTAAGTAGTATGTCATCTTAGTGAAAAATCTAAAGATGGGCAGGAACAAGAACCTGTAACCCCTCTGGTGCATGACTTCCTGCGGTGCGCTCTGGTAAGTTCATAAAGGCTGTTCCATCGCACATGCAGACTAGTTCTGTGATGTCAGTTTATGCTGCTTGGATACTGTAATGTGCTTATGATACACAGGAAGATCTGTACTTGGAGGGCTTCAGTGTTAAAAGGGGAATGTGTAGGGGAAGGAGGAATTAATACCAGATCTAGACCCCTGCCCTTATAAAGATTCCAAGTTTTTTCTAAGAGGCAAGTCTCATGAACTCTTCCTCATCAGGAATCACTTCCTCACCATGCCGTCCTCGCCCCTGCGGACCTTTCGTGTCCAGCTCCATCTAGCTGAAACTAATGAGGTTTTTTCACTGCCTCAATGTCAGAATGACTTGACTGTGAAGAAGCTTAAGTCCCACTTAGAATTGTTGACTGGGATCCCCCTTCATTTCCAGCGGCTTCACTACCTGGATGAAGGTGAGAAGCTAACCTCTCGGATTCTTGGAGATTATTTGTAGTATCTCTTTACCTGTTAGTTATAGCTACGTTTAGGTCCTGGATGAAGTTCTGCTTTCCTCTTTTTACTGTACTGCACTTGGAATTTAGCTCTTGACTTAATGCTTAACTTTGCTTCCTACTCATTAAAAGTAACGGTCTAGTCAACAGAGTCTCTCTGGATTAGGGATTGCAAATACTGACATCTAAATTCCTGCTTAGCCTTGTCAACAGCCAATGCCAGTGCCTGGCTGGTTCACCTCAGCCCAGAACAGCTCTGCCAAGCCTCTGGTTGACCTCTTCACAGTTAAATTGTGTGGAGCCATGGGTTCTCCCATTACATCAGCTGTGTGTGGTGTTGGAGTACTCTGCAGGTAACAGAGACAGCCCCTGAAACTTGTTTAAACCTGCTAGTTAAAACAAAATAACTTCCTATTATCTGCTTTCTCAGATCAAACAAATGTGAATTAGAATAAAGACACCATGTATGTATGGATACATTTAAGTATGTGTCCTGGTTTGGGCTGAAATAGAGTTAATATTCCTTTTCAGGGACTAGATGAGTGCTGTGTTTTGGATTTAGCTTTGGGTTTGGTATGGGAAAAATACTGATAGCACACTGATGTTTTCAGCTGCTACCGAGACTGCAAGGACTCTCCGACTCCCCATGTCCTGCCCGTGCGCAAGGGCACAGGGAGCAGGGAGGGAGCACGGACAGAGCACCAGACCCAAATTGGCCAGTGAAATATTCCATATCATGGAATGTCATGCTCACTATATAAAGGAGGGGTGGTGGGGAAGGAGCTCTCTCTCTCTCGCTCGCTTCCGGGATTGCGATTGTGGGATCTTGGTATCTCGGGGTCGCTGGCCGGGAACGGGCTGGGGATTGGTCAGCGGGTGGGGAGCAATTACGCTGTACATTGCCTGTTTATATATTTCCTTTTTTTCGTATCATCATCATTATTCTCGTTTTATTACCATTATTAAACTGTTCTTATCTCAGCCTGTGAGTCTCCCTTCACCCCTCTAATTCCCTCCCCCGTTCCCAGGTGGCGAGGGGGAAAGGAGGGTGACCACCTGCAGTGGTTGGTTGCCGACCAGGCTCAAACCACGACAGGGTTTTTCCTACAGCCTTGTCACTTGCCATGTTAACTGCAGCGTGCTGTGGTTACAACCACCTTAGCCCAAGCACACTATGCTGTGGGCTTTTCTAGGCTGGGAGTGTGTCTGTGTATTCATAGCTTTAGCACGATGGGACCCGAGGTGACCTTGATGCATTATGGTAATAAAATCAGAGAACACCAGCATGGCTAAAAGAATTCAGTCACCATCTAACTTTTTTTTTAAAACTGGTTGTTCTGTTCTCTGAGGATACATTGACTTGCTTTTCTTTTCTAACTCCCTACAGTAGATCTGCCAGATGAGTCTACGTTTAAGGACAATGAGATTGTCCCTGGTGGAAGGATTATCATGCACATCTGGAGACAAGATGGCTGGGGGCATCTTGTGGCAGCTGCTGCAGAAGGAGAGACTGTGAAGGTTGATTCCATTACTTCTGTGAATGGGTGGGGTACTGGAAGTGGAAAAGCTAAAAGCTTTTTGCTGAAGGTCTAGGTACTCTTATAGAGCAAATGGTGGGGAAGTCTTTAATGGAAGAGACTTGCCATCGAAATTAAGTAGGTTAGTTGTACTGGCAACAGTTCACAATGAAAGTGGTAATTTCAAGGGAAGCTGGTAGTCCAGAACCAAGGAGTCAATCTCTAATGCAGTCTGTTCAATTTAGAAATAAGACTGCTTTTTGCTGTTACTAGTAAACAGCATATCCACTTGGAGTGCAAGTTCTTTTCATTGTTTTATAACTTTCTGTAGCACTGATGTGAGAATACTTTCAGATTACTTTTCTTGTTCCTGCTTATCCTGATGTCTGAAAAATGTTTGCATTTTTTTATTTAGCTGCCTGCCATTTTATTCTTCTGATGTGTTCTCAACAAAAGATACTTAATCCCAGTGTTTTTCATGTAGATAGGAGAAATTATACATAGCATTTAAACAGGGCCTTTTTCTTGAATATCTTAAAAAAATCATTAGGAGATTGGGATTATCTGTTCTTGGGTATTCTGGTGAGGCTGAGTGACTCGCCTGTTGTTATGGGAATCAGAGGCAGAAACTCTGTTTCACAGTCCATCCTCCTCTGGCCAGACTGACTCGAGAGTAAGAATGGGACTCAATACCCAACTACCAAAATCAAAAATCAGAAGGCATTTCCTTTCTCATCCACTTTATCTGGCTCTATCTTACAGACCGTCTTGAGTTTGCAATTCTGTCAAGTCTGATTAGTAAGAAAGCTTTGATTTTGATAGAAGAAATAGTTTCTGTGGTGCTTTGATAGAGGGCATGCTGCTTTCTTGATTTAGGACTGAAATGTTGTCTCAGCAGAAGCACAAGGTACTCAAGCTGATTTGTACTGTAAACCTTCAGGCCTGAACAGATGTGTTCATGAAATATCCTTTGGCACCTTTCGTAAAGAACCATTATCTGCATTGCCCTGGCCAAATTCCAAGCGGGCTAATCACATTCTGTTCCTCTGTGTTTCCCTCACCCCTGCAAATGGACACTGCAGGGTTCTTCGCTTACTTTCCTTAACTGTTGTGTAGTGTTGTGGTTCATTGGCAAGCAGCTGTTCTGCCCTGTGCCACAAATGGCTTGCATTTTCCTATTTGGTTTGGTTTTCCCCCCATGTTTTGAGTTTCCTGTGTATCAAAGATTCTTCCTACTCAGTGTAGAGCAAGAAATAGAAGGATGTGCCACAGAGACAAATGGTCTCCTTTGAAATTAAAGGTGTATTGTCAAAGAGCCCCACAAAAAGCTTGCTGACAGTTGATTTTTTCAAATGAAAGAAACCCTTCTTTTAAAGAAATAACGATACAGCTGTTCTAACAATGTGCTTCCACTTACTAGATGGAAAACCATGGTGCACTGTGGAAGATGTAGCCCAACATGGAAATGGTTTCTCAGGAAGAACAGCAGCATGAGGCACCTGAAAATTGTTCCTAAGAGGCTTCTCAGCAGCACTTTAGAACTGATGTGTTTGGATTTATTACCAAAAAAAGCTCCTTCTGGGAAAGAATGTGCTACCGGATTGTTTCCTGGGGCAGCTTAGGTTTACGAGTTGCCTGCTGGAATTGAGGCACAAAGTCTCATCTGCCTTCTAAGGAACCCAGACTAACATGGCCAGTGCTGTCTTTCTTCGTCCTCTTTCCCCAAAAGCTCAGGTCAGATTCCAACAAATTTAAGAGGAGGACAAGGGTCGCACAGAAACATTTTCTAGCAGATTGTGGTGCTTAATAACTACATACGAAAGGAAAATCCAAATTATTGTTCCCTCTAAGGAATGGCTATGAAAAAATATCATTAGGTAGTAGAGAATCAAGATGGGGCAGAAGAATAAGAAACAACCAGGTCTTATTTAGCCGATGATTTATGCAGTGTGCAAGCACCCCCTAAGTACACATATGAGACTTTGTTGATACCTAAAAGAATCAGGCTACACTTCTGAAAGAGACTAAAAGGTTTGTGTTTATTCTGCAGCTAGTCCATCTGGGAGTTACAGAGGACTTTGTGGGCACCACGCCATATGCAGAGTTACTGGGACCAGAGCAGAAGAAGGAATGGGTAGCACACCGAGCTTTCGTGGCACTGTTTATTGCCAGCCACAGAGGTCATGTTGAAACTGTCAAGTTTCTCCTGAGACACGGTAATATTCTTAAACCAATTCTTCTCTGGGTGTAACTGAGCAGCATACCACCTTCCTGCTTACCCAGGCCACAGAATTTTACCCAAATGGCCTCAGATATTTTGTATTTGAGGTGGAGAATGCATTCAGCACCTCAGTTCTGACGTACACTTGGAGACAACAAACACTTGCTAAGTGTAATGACTTTTGGTGTTAGAGAAATTCATATTGGAAAACAAGATTCTGATTTTTTACTTCCCTATCTGAGTCTCATTTATTTATGGCCCCTTTCTTATAAAAAATAACCATTTCTAGATAATCAGTCCTGTGCAGTGCTATATCAGACACTGAAATGCAAGAAGAGTTGTAAGTACTAGTTCTATGGCTCTGACATTTGGGCGCTTTTGTTGCTTTGCAGCTAAATAAGCCTTCTTTCCCCAGAAATCTGCATTTGCACAATGGACAGTCCTTTGGGTCAGCTGAGGTCACTTGATTGTCCTTAATGAAAGGACATTTGTTAGTGAAAGGACATTTGTTAACCGCTTTTTTTTATTCAGTCACTGAAAGCCAGCTCTGAGGAGGAAATCCCACCTTGTCTGACAGTGCTCCCTCCAGTCCAGGTTTGTGAGTCTGGCCCCCTCAAAGTTCGTTTCTGTTAAAGGATGTTGTCCTTTCCCTCTATGTGAGAGCTCCCAGTGCCAAAACATTGGCAATGCCAAATATTAGCAATGTTCCCCCAAACAGAACAAAGAATATCCAGTTGCTGTGTGTGAATTAAAGGCAGGAGCATATCTTCGCGAGACAGGTTTGTTAATTCCACTGATTAGACGTGACTAAAATAAACTGCATCTGTCTTCAGAAAAAGATTGTGCACTGTGGCCCGCAGGTGGCATTACCTCCTTTCGTATGCCTTGTCACGCTGGGCCTGTGTATGGTTCTTCGCAGGTGCGGATTTGCATTCCAGAACCCCGCTGGGAAGGACTGCCCTTCACAGCGCTGCTGTCGCGGGCCAGCGCGCCTGCATTGAGCTGCTCCTCAGCCACGGGGCACGACCTCTCAGCCCGGACGGCGAGGGACAAACGGCGCTGAGCCTTGCCCGGCAGTGGGGCCAGAGGCAGAGCGAACGCGCCATGGTTGGCTTCCAGCGGAGGAAGAGCCCCCCTGGCACTGTGCCACCCTCCAGCGCTGCGCGCCGGGCCTTGCGGCAGATGTCTGGTCCCACGTCCTAAAATACACACGGACTAACTCGGTTCTGGCAAATTTCAAGGGACGGGCAGTAACTTTCCCATAGACCAACGCTTCAAATATAGGTCACTGGGTGGGATTTGTAGGTTTTAGTTATGAAATAAACTCATGTTCTGGTGATGCTGCAGCTGAGATGACAACCAGCTTGACAGGACAGTTCTCAAACACGCTTTTAATTTGTAGCTTAAGTATTTACAATGCTGTTCCCTAGCCAAACTGGCCATTTAGTTAATATGTTTTGTAGGAAAGCTTGAGCCTGTCTGCAAGTTCTCTTTGGAATGCTCCTTGCTAGGGTAATTTCCTAATAGCTGGCACCAGACCAGGGCGATACAGTTTAATGGGTATTTCAGGGGACTGGAAATCCCTAGATCTTTAATCCAGTTCTGGCCCTGACTGACTTTATTGCCTCTGGCACATCAGTTAAGGGTTATTTTATAAGTAGGGCAGTTTGTCTGCCATGGGAGAGTGCAGGCAAAGTTGATGTGCATGTAAGTGGCTAATTATGATTGCCCAGTGCTTGCTTAGTGTCTCCAACATGTTAAGCCTCAGGGCTTTGAAGGTTGGGGTTTTCTGAAGCCACTGGTGGGGCAAAGTGACTTGCCCATCTGCTTTCAAAGTTTTGTAGTATCCCACATTCCTTAGACACTTTAAAAGTACTGCTGATGGTCTCTTTATGCCTCTGATGGTAGAAGGAAGCTGAGCTTCTGGTCGGTTTCCTGAGGGCTTATTAAGGACTTGGTGCTCAATTTTGAGCAGTTTTCATTGTTTTGCGTAAAGAGACATTTTTCCAAACAGCTTGGCATTTCTATTTAACCACAGAAGAGGTGGCTCTCAGTGGGAACTGAATGCTCCTGAGAACTTGGCCCACTGCCTTTTTGCTTGCAAAGACCCATGTGTAGCCAGGAGACTCTACAAATAACTAACTTTGAGTTTTTCTTGTTTCCTTGTGTCAAAGCATTTTCTTTAACTGATACCAGGATTGATTGCTACCTAAATATCCAGGTAATTAGTAAATTTTGGTCTCAATATTTAAGTTTGTGTTTCAGATCTGTGCCTGGGAGTAGCCATATCCATCCAGAACGTGATAAAAATCAGCATCTTGTTGTGCAGCATTGTCTTCTATGAATAGGTGAAATAAGGATCAGAAAGATGTTGGCTGTGAACTTGGATACCTTTAATTTATGTTCCTTAGGGGAGGGATTGTGGCTAATGATGTGAACTAAGAATTGACTTGAGTGCTCTGCTTCCAATTTGGCTTTGTGTGCACTGAATAAATGGAGGCAAGTTACACAGACCTAGTCCTGGAGCAAGGGTTGCAGAGCAGGACAGTGTACTACCCAAGCAAATGTACCTGATGTTTAAGAAAAAAAACAACAAAAAAACAAAACAAAAACAAAACAAAACAAAAAAAACAACAGGGGATCTGAATAATGTTCCCATATATGTTTCTTGTCAGATAGTCCCAGACAGAACTATGGAGGGTTGCTCTGGATAAGCACGGTAAGTGTGACATGGCAGGTATCCAGACATGTGGCTGCCTAGCTCAAAGATCGTTTAGTCTGTCCAGGGAATTGCTCGCAATCCTCAGCTTCCTGGAAGTAAGTCCCTAAGCCTACTTTCCATGTTAGTAAAGTTAAAATACTACCTGGAATGCTTTAAAAATGCAGCTGCATCCCCTATAAGCACTTGTCTGCCTCAGTCAGGGTGGAGGGTTGGATGGGTGCCTAGTCTGAAAGCAGGGCTTTGCGCCTGCCTTGGATGTTCCCTGCCACCGGACTGTGTGCTCTCATGAGAACAGTGTGTGTGAACCAGGAGTGGAGGCTGAGAAATGAAACCCACAGATTCAATCTCTAGAGCAATCCACTAAAAATACCCCTTTGTTTCAGCTTTCTTTTTTGTAAACTGAAAGAGCTTTGGGGTGATTGTTTTAGTTCGTTGATATTGCTTCCCTGGCCTTCAGTTTAAAAGTTTGCAACCTGAAGTGAAAATCCCAAGTTGCTGTTTTGAATGGCCTGAAGTTACACGCCAGGAGTGGGAAGGGGCTGCAGCCAGTAGGAGAGTGCACTCGGGCAGCGGGGCCTCCAGAGCTGGCTGCGGGACACGTGTGCCCTCTCGTCCTTGGGCCTGTGTCATGTTCACCATTCCTGCATGAAGAATAGCCCTCTGCTTTTCTTGAGCCACACCACCTCAGTTGCATCCAGTTGTGACGATAATTAACCCAGAGATTCCAAGGCAGCAGCCTTGTATTCCTTCTGAATTGGTAATTGTACTTAAAGTCTCTCCAATCTAAGATGATAAATACCTCTTATCTTTCAATTCCTTATTTTAATCAAGTAATAAAGCAAGGTTCAGAGCTTCAGGCTGCAGCAAGTGCCGCTTCTGAAGCCAGTTACTAGGAGTCCAGAGGACACATAGCAATGCCTACACATGCTGACATCAGTCTGAATAAATGATCACAGAATGCTTCCAGTTTGAGGGGACGCTTTCGTGGTATCATTTAAAGAAAGTTCACTTGAATAGGTTTTATGCTGATTGTTAATTCCATGTGACTTAAATATATAGCTATTTAATAACTGCTTAGGAGAATTGAGAGGATCACACATTTTATCAAAGGGATGAGTAGACAAGATATAAAAAGATGGTGCTTCTGGTATTTTGCTGAGCAGCTGAATATTGCAAGCAGGATTATACAGAAAAGTCCTTAGAAATCCTTTATTCTTTCTTTCTATTGTCTGTCTAGACTGTCTAATCTGTACCCAAACTTCTAGAAATGGGGGGAGGATTTGTAGTTGCCTTCAGACAGTGTGCAGCATGCTGCATATCTGAGAAAGAACAGGAAGTGTCATTTGGAGAGAACTGGGTAACCTCAGGACAAGGATGTGAGGAATGGCAGGAAATTTTGTACTATGTTATTATGTAGTCAGGGACAAATATGAAATATTTTTTGCTGGAAGCTGGAGACTCATCCTTTGGAAAGAACAGAAGTCACCAATGTGTTGCAGCTGGGAGATGTTTTTGTGTGTACCCATCCAAAATTTTATTGGGACAAATTAGTATAGAATTAATGTCTGGGTGAGAGAAGCCCTGGAACAATGTGTGCTGTTCTGGTTAGGTGAGAAAGGTGAACTCAAGCTAGACGAGACCCCTCAATTAATCAGGGGAAAGGGAAGAGTTCCTCTTCCTGAGAGAGCCAGGAGAGTGGGGCACAGCTTTCTGTGGTCCCAACAGAAAGGACCATACAAGGACAGTATTGCTCTTTATCAAAGATGATAAATGCCAGGGAGGTAAATAAGATATTTACACCAGGGGAAACTTCTGGGATAACAAGACCAGAAATCAGAATATGTTTTGCAGCTCTCGTTAGGGAGGAGTAGGGCAAAGACCTAACCAAATATGTGTGCCTTTAAGAACACTGGTGGCAGCGCTGTGGGATGCTGATTTTATTTGTTGCAACATTGTATTTGTTGTTTAAGGTTTCTATTCCAAAGATTAAAAATTGGATGTAGACAAAGCAGATAATATTGCCTGTGTTAAAGTAACCAGCTGTGCTGTAGTGTGCACCAGAAATAAACATCAGGGGAGCCAGCAGACCGAGATGCAGAGCCCAGAAAGAAATGTGACTGTTGAAGAGATTGAGGCTCTGGATTCCTGAAATCCATGCTTAGCTCTGCCACTGATTCAGATGCAATCTTGAGAACTTGATTTCTGTCTTGCATAGTATCAGGAATCCCTGCAAATGTTGTTTCTCTATTGCACTGGTGTGCAAAAGTCTGTTTCTAGAAGGGATGCTGTAATAACAATCTTTGCAAAGAAAGGGAACAAACAGGCAAACGAGATCTGTGCATTTTGCATTGCAACCGTTTTTTTCTCTTCTCTATGCTACAGCACAGGGAAAGGATCAGACTCCAGAAGACTTTAGTGAGAGCTTGTTAATGATCTTTGGGTTCCTCAGATAAAGAAACAGGGAGATCATTAGGGAGAAGAAAATGCACAAAAAATGTCTTGAGTCTAATTATGCCCAGGGCAGGACCAGTGTCACAACTGTCTCCTAATATTAAGAAATCCAAAGCAACTCTCTTGGAAGGACTGTGGTTCCCCTGGATGCAAAAGGCAGTAACTTAAGTAAAGATGACAAGCACAGGAATAATTCATCACACTTTATCATTATCAGCTTCCCCCCCTTTCCTTGCCTGGGCTGACTCCCAGTATTGCTTATTGCTCACAGCTGACTGCTGTTTCCCCAGAGCCTTGAGAAAACGAAGGCTCAGCAAGCCTTGAAAGAGTGACTGCTGCTATTGAGAAATAGTCACTGTAGCCAGGGAGAGCCTTGGAGGTCTCTGAACTGTCACCTTTCATGCTTTCAAACATTAAATGCTCCTCAACCCTCTCCCCTTTCTCTAGAAATGCTTCTAATTTCACCTGAGTTACACCCCAAACTTGCTTATGTTTACTTAGTTCCTCTGAGTGCCTCCCACATGGATGCTGCAGGAGAGGCTTGGTGCTGTTGTCAGAAGTGAGATGCTGTGAGGAATGCCTAGAGGTGAACGGATGGCTCTATAAAGGAGTAGAAGTATAGCAGAGTTTGTTTGTAGGATTAATTTTCAGGAATCTTGCTGCTTCATATACCAGGGCCCCCAGGTAAATGATATGTCTCCCTGGACCAAGAGCTGTGCTTCGCTTTAGGCAGCAGACAAGCCTCTCCCTCTACTCCCAGTTTATAGCCCTGAAACTTCTTTGGTATTAAAGTTTCTTTCAATTAAGACAGAGAGGTCATTTCTTTAAAAATGGGCCATTTATTGATGGAACTTCCCTACCTGTGGGGATATGGTCCCCTCCAGACTCAGACAACACCTGAGTAGAGTTCTCTGCTCATGTGTCTTACCAACACTCCTGGAAGCCTAACACCACTGTTGATCTTGTCTTACTTGTGAAATACAGCCTACAGCAGACCTCCCTATGGAAACTGAATATTGGAACTCTAGAGCAAAGACCTGTCATTACTTTGGCATTGCACAAATAACTTGTTAGCTCAGTGAATTTTTAAATAGAGAAAAAGATCAAGCTTCTTGTTATACCTGTTCCATATTTATCAATAGACAACAGTAATGCAGAACGCTGTAGCAATCTTTACATTCATTTCTGAAAGTGAATCAAATGAACAGAAATTGTTAAATGCCAGAGTACAATGTAGCTTATAAAACTCAACAGACACCAGGAAACTTGTACTGATTGGGCTCTTAGATGTTGTTTTCCTATTGCTTAGGAAAGAGAATTGTAGTCAGCTTGCAATCTCCCCGACATTGTTCGTGAAGGAAGCAGACAAAAAGTACCAACGAAACAGAAGGGCTGCAATTTAGTTAATTTTATGCAAAACACAATCAGCATTCAAACTGGGAGTTACCAAGCAGAAATGTATTGATAGAGAAGCCAAAATATTCTCTGTGCATAAATGGCAAAACAGTAAAACAAAATTTCAGAGACTCCTGCAACTCATGTAACTGGAGGCCAGAGAAGATGCAAGGGTGAAGTTTGACACTATCAGAGTGAAAAGGAGTTCGGAGAGGCCATGGCTGAATCCCTGACACCCTAAGCCATGCCTCAGTATGGTATGAACCAGGACAGCTCTGGTGTGACAGAAGACCTTGTATCGGTAAGGAAAAATAGAAACAACTTTTTCAGAAGAGTGATTAGGAGAGAGGGTGGTTGCTTATAAAAGATGGTTGGAAAGGATCTGTGCTAGAGGAAAGAGAAGAAAGTGCAATAAGGAGGTAGTAAAGGACAGAGAGAATGGAAAGAGCTGCAGATCAGCTGGGGAAAGTAATTATGAAGGTGACAGCTGTGCAGGGATCTGCCTTCTAGTCCTGGAGACCCCTGAACTGATGATGGTGCACATTGATGTCCCATTTTGTGTTTTACTTGGCATGACAGACTCCTCTTGGCACTGAAGTTAACTAAGTGGACACAAAATAATTTTGTGCAGAACAACGTGCACTACTCTTTCCCAAACCTCATGCAGCCCACTGAAATTTTCTGATTAATCAGTCTTTGTGCCTCAAATCCCTAAAGGCTCCGGTCCAGT